TACTATACTTCACAAAATAATGGGGGGAATAGTCATTTGCCACATACAGTTTGAGAAGTTCTACTTTAAGAGAACCAATTAATTCTAATATAACTATATATTCATAGGAATAATTTTTTAAACATTTTTCACATTTCCTGGCAGCCATGTTTCATGAAAATGTCTTTAATGGAGACATCAAAGGATTTTTCAAAAATTTAACCAGTCCCTGAAATTTCAGATTTTTCACAACTTTCTTCATTCACTTCACCCTTCTCCTTGCAAGAATCCTGGCTGTTGGTTTCAATGAAGTAAGTTTCTTCACCATTCTCTTTTCTATTTTTTCTTTATTAAAGCTTTTTTATCTTCAGTGAACCTTTTCACTTCTTGGTTGAAGTACTCAACCACATTTCCACTTTGGCCTTTCTTTGAAACAAAATCACATTTCTAGTTCCCTTAAGTTGTTAAAATAGTGCTTTTCTTGTTATTTTTCAAGTATTACCTGAGATGATCTCATAAAGAGTTCTTGAATATCTAACTCGTCTAATAAGAGAGTCCTTCCTATGCGGTGCACTGCCATGCTCACGTGCGATTTGCTGTAGGGAATCTTCAGAAGCTTTTTTATGTTCTTGAAAAAAATCAAGAGGAAAAAACAATTTAGAAAGACCTTTGTAGTGTGATCTGGAATCTTTCAAATTTTAACTTCACTCAACTTTAAAGCATAATAAACCTTATTTCCTTAAGATCATACAAACTGTATTTTACACAAACAGCTACCTATATACACATAGAAGACAGAGCTTTAGAACCAGAATCACCTACATTTTACCAGTCACCCTGTGTTAATGTAAATGACAGTCAAAGATTTATTTGTACACGATGGAATTTCATAAAGTATGTACAGGTCACACTATTGCACTGACCCAGGCTTTTAGCATCTCAGATAAACTTGGCCAACCAAGGATCAACAGATTTTACCAAAAGTATCACATCTAATTCTCAACTAGTAACATTACATAACCCAACATTATAAGTGCTATCATCAAAACTGCTATCATTAAAACACAACCATCAATACGAATATTAATTACCACTGCTACTATTTGGGGGGTTGCTCCCTCCTCTTTGAGGAAAGATGCAGTGAACAGTGTTACTTTAATAAAAAAGGTATTCAATAATCAGCTAGTTGTAGCTTATTTCATCACTAATTTTTCAAGACTGCAGACAAAGCAGGCTATAAATCCCCAGCACAAACATCCCAACTACATTTGCAATAAGAACACTTACTTCAGAGTCAGAGACAACATCCACATCGTTTCCCACTGAATCAATAAAGTCGTATGCCATCCCAAAGCTGAAGGAGAAAACAAAGGCCACAAAAATCACGTTCAGGGTGCTGCAGGTATTGTTTATAATACTATATTTCATCGCTTCTTGGATACACATTTTTCACATTCTAACACCTCCGAAATCAGTATGCCTATCACCATTACAGTTGGCTAGTTTTTCCTTCTCAATGGTACATAAAATAATGGGGTCACTTAACAGACATAGAAAACAGACTTGTGGTTCCCATGGGGGAGGAATAGATTGGGAGTTTGGGATTAGCAGATGCAACCTATTATACATAGAATGGATAAACAACAAGATCCTACTGTAGAGCACAGGAACTAAATCAATATCCTGTGATAAACCACAATGAAAAAGAATATGTACATATGTGTGTGTACGTGTGTGTGTGTGTGTGTGTGTATAACTGAATCACTCTGCTGTACACCAGAAACTAACATAACATTGTAAATCAACTATAGTTCAAGAAAAAATAAATTTAAAAAAATTAAAATAATGGGGTGACTTAAAAATCAATGGCATCTTGGATTTGATAAAAGATAGTAATAACAGAATAGTAATAGAAGCAATTAACAGTAAATATTTAGAATAAAAACAATTAACAATTATTTTTATTTTTGTAGTCATGAAGTCTAAAAAATATCCAATAGAAAACAGTCAGAGTTATTATTATTTTTAGGTGGGGAGATGAGAAAAAGAGCAACAGAAACATTTATCAGAATTTTAGTCTCTGGGATTATGTTCCCAGTGATATACACTACTACCCTTTTAAAAAATATATGAGAAAAAAATGCACATGAAACCAATTCAACCAGTAGGAGAAAAAACAGCTAACTGAGCACCCAACTTGTGCCAGGTACCACATGAGGCACATCTATAATCTGCATGCCTGAAAGACAGCCGATGTCACCATTTTTCAGTTTGTAGGAGGCAGAGAGTCAAGATACTTATTTAGGACTGCCTCACTTCAAAGCATGCTGACGATTTACCATGTGGTCTAGGCAAGTTACTTAACCTTTCCAAGCTTCAGTTTTCCACAGGAAAGTTAGTTAACAGTACCAAACTCAAAGGGTTGTTGTGAGAATGAAATGAGATAAACATATAAAGTACTCAGCACAGTGTCTGTACACAGTCAATATAATTATCATTTAAATCACTTTATAACATTTAATTCTGTTGACCTACAATTTATTAAGCCATTCTTCTAAAAGAAGATATGCAGACTTTCCAATTTCTTTTTTGCTAGTATAAATAGTGCTACAAACAAGCAACATTTTACAAATATAACTTTTACCTTCTGAGACATTAGGATAATTTCCAAACTACTGGCACATAAGGTACTAATGTATTTATGGCTCTTGCTATATGTTATGCAGAAATATTTTAGGTTCAATCGCTGAGAGGAAAAAAGAGAACCCCATACATTAAACGGTCTACAAGAATATGGACATCATTACATTTTTCTCTGTAAGACCCAGGCCACTCTCTCAACTTCAAATACTACCACCAAGTGTCAAAGTCAAGGGTGTACATCACTCGACATGCTGTGTTTCTACATCACTGCTTTTTCAGCCCAGACAACCCACCACCATTTAATGAAAAATTCCACAAGACAGGTTAGGCAGTGTTAAGGGCTTTCCTCATCACGTGCCACCCTGATTCTCTGCGTTCACATATTCAAAAGGTATGTAAATTGGCTAAAATTAAAATAGCTGATGGAATTTTAGTGGTCAAAACTCATCTTTGTTAATAACATGATGCAGACTTGAAAGAAGCATATGCGATTGATATCTTCATATTTTAACAGAGTCCTATTATCAGGGGGATAAAGGACATTGAAAGTCAAATATAATCTTTTACCAAAGCGAAATCTTGGCACGTTGATGAGCATTACAAATTAAACTGAACAGCGAGTATTAAGAGTTTTAAGGTGGAGGGTTGAGGGGCTGGTAAAAATGCCATCAGTTAATATTTACCTTGAAAATGGCTTGCTTTTCCTACTGTTGCCAAGAATGGTAGTTCCTGCTGGTCCTAGTTTGGCACTCTCTCGTAACCAGTTGGCAGGTGGGAGTTTCAAGTCTGTTTTCTCTTGGAGGCGTGCAAATGCTGTCCGAGGAGGGGCAGAAGAGTATTTCACCACAGCTCGGCTCTTCACTTCATTGCCTCCAAGAAATAAAGCTGATCCCTGATTAAAACATTAAATGAAATTTTAATATACACTACTAGGAATAAAAATACCCCACCTTAATAATAATAAAAACCCTACCACATCAGGCTTACAAGAACATATACTACATGTTACTAACAGCAGTTAATAAATGTGAGCGTAAATGTGTACCATTTACTTAGCTCTTTTTCACATAATTTCAAAGAAAAAAAGATGAGTCAAGGAGTGTGATGGGTACGGTTATTAGCTAGGAAACAGGCCAACCGAACTATCTTTTAAAACATTCATAAAAAAGTGTAGAAGCAGAAACCAAGGAGTCAAGAGTAGCACGTTAACTAAATGCAAAATTTAATAAAACCTCTGTTCAATACTAAAGATGTATTTCAATGTCAATAACATACATCATTTAGAAAGTAGTTTGTGGTGAGATATCTGGGCCTCTTTTGTTTTTAAGTAAGCGTTTAGCAACTGGTCAGTTTACGACGCAAATACTCTGAATGTCTAACTTCATAGCAAGTCCCTGGGGGGTGCGCACAGATTTCACTTGCACATCCCCAAGAAAGCTCAGGGTCTAAGTTAACTCTTCCAACCTCCCTTCACGTAGCCCCGCTTCGGCCTGGCAAACACTTTGCGCCCTTCTAACATTAATTAGCTCAGTGCCATCTCGGTGAGCTTGCTCTCTTCTCCCTTCAGCTCTGCAAGGCTGTGCCGACTTGGGAACCACATATTTACACGTACGCTTCTTGAGAGCGGAGGTCGTGTCTAACTCACCTGTCGGTTATCTTCGACTGGGAAGCCAGGACTGCTTTTGATACGAATGATCTGCAAGTAAATGCCTGAGTACACCGACAGGCACACGGACTTCCACTCCGTTTGGGGGGCCGTCGGGGAGGCGTGGAGAAGGCGCCAGAAGCCGCCGGGAACCGTGACATCCCTCCCGGGCCGAGCGGGCCCGCAGCCCACGGAGCCCTGCAGGTCCCGCCCCACCGCGGACTCACCTGTGCAGAAGGTTCCTCGGACTCTCCTTGGGACAAGAGGCTGAGCCCTCCCCGAGCAGCGGTCCCGGCCGGCGGAGCCTCGGTCCCGGCCTCCTTAGAGTCCCCCATCACCTCGGTCCAGGTAAGGCGAGGTGAGGCGACGCGAGTCTCGACCCGAGAAGCCGTAACAAGTTGCCGGGCCCAGAGGCGCTGCTGGCCAGCAGAGGAGGCGCCAGATACACCCCGCACTTCCGGCCTCTGACAGGAAGAACTGGAGCGAACGCGTTCAAATCTCGCGATTTTTGCTCCAGAGGCCCGGCCCCGCCTCCCCCGGTAGATACCAGCTTCGCGGCGGGGGCGGGAACTGGCGTGCGCTGATGTCTGCCAGAGTTTCTGCGGGAAACTACTTCTCGCGTTATCTGACTCCCAGGCTCCACCCCTTGCACGCCGGTCTTTGTTGGCCAACAGTCCGCGGGACTTGGGCTTTGGGCGGAGTCAAAGTCGCCGAGGTCGTCTCTGCGTGGGCGGGGAAAAGCGACCGTAGTTGTAACCAGCGGATACCGTTACGTAAAGTAGTGAAGTGTCAGCGCTCTTTCCGCCACAGTTTTCAGTGCCCCCTCGGTTTGCAGTCGGGCTCGCAGGCCCAGGAAGGGAAAGACATGCCCAGGTGAGGGGCCGTCCAGACTCAAGCCAGCCCGGCCTCGGCGTACTGTCCGCTCATCGCAGTGCGTGTATGGGCCTCGCGGTCCCGAGTGTAGGAGCGGCGGGGCTCCGCGGGGAGAGGAGGCCCTCCGCCTTTGCTGAAGGGATGGATTTCAGAGGAGACGGCACCGCCAGAGGTGCAGAGTTTGCTGTTTAGTGACGCCTGGAGCATCTACGGAGAGCCCCGTATTTGTCGGGCCCCAGGGAACTAGCAAAGGGCATTCCGGTGGTCCAGGGACTTCTCGAGCATTAAAGGGCTCAGGAAACACCTGGGGATCTAGTTGACATGCAGATTTTGATTCAGTTGGTCTGAGAGGGGCCTGAGATTCTACATCTCTACCAGACCCCCAGGAGATGATGCCAGTGCTTTGAGTAGCAAAGAGGTAGAGAAATAGCCAAGGTCCGTTTAAAGCTTCGAAGGTGCTCGGCTCTCTTATCCTCTGAGCCGAAACCCAGTATCGTATCGTTACATGCAGCCACAGCCTTCATAAAACTGTTTTGTTTTGCAGTAAAATATTGAAAGTTTCTTGAAAAATTAGTTTTGCCTTTGCAATTACTTGGCTATCTCAATTTGTAATTTACATCAGGTGCTGATAATACACTGATTATCTGCAGATTTAGAAGTCCTTGTAACTGTTAACAAACTCAATTTACAAATTGTTTTCAATTGTAACAAAACATTTTTATGATTTATATTTAACAGTGAATTTAATATCAGTATATTTTGTAGAACTTAAATCAACATGTATTGGTTTTGATATCTATAATTTTCTGTTTGTATTTTGCAGTCAATTCTTTTTTCATTTTTTGCAAGTAACATTGTTATTTTACATTATAGTAAAAAGTTGAACACAAAGGTCTAAGGACATTAGGAGGATGGTTAAGTCTACTTTTGGTACATAATACCATTAACTTGTGCAACTATTATCAATAAATTGTTTTTAAAGAATATTCAAGAACGTTTAAATTGCACTTTGTATGTTAATATAAGTGTACCTGTACTGTAAGATCGTGTGCGATGTTGTGATAAAAAAAAAGTAAAGCAAACCTGTAATAAGATCTTAATTTCACAAACATGTTTATTTCTGTGTCAATGTCCATAAAAACATATCTCTACGGGGTAAAATGAAATGATTTAAAATTTATTCTTTAAAGCTTCATTTTCCTATTTTTCTTTCTGATTATGCATTATTTTATAGTAAAATGTCATTTTATTTAGCTTTTATACATATATAATTTAGCTTCGAATCATCTTTGAATTCTGTTGTTTTTATTGTATAATTCTGTGTTTGCAAGAAGGGATTTCCTGATGTAGCAGTGATTCTTTCTTCAGGACTCACATATACTGCAGGCCTCTTGAGAAGTAAGTGCCTGAACCCTTGTTGATAATGCTTCGGGAGAAAATGTGCTGGAAACAGCCTGTGAAAAGGCAGCAAGAAGAGTGAAACACAGAGAACCAGGAACGCAGCACAGAAAAAGAGAGGTCAGCGGCAGAGGGGACTATGGGAGCGGCCGTTGGGCTGGGGGAACCAGGGACGCCCAGTTTGTGAAAGGAAACCTGAGGAGGGACCAGATATTCTGGGGCCTCTCACAGGGCAGGACTAGAGAGATTTAGGTAGTGAAGGAGGATGATCCCTGATGGCAGGAGAAACTGAGCACATCTGAATTACATAAAGTTTACACATTCTTCTAGCTCTAAGTGCTTATTAATTTTTTTCTTTTCCCTCTTCAGAAACGTTTATGTGCTGTGGGTTTAAGTTAATATAATTGTTTTTAATGTCTGTGATTGAAATATAATGTGGGAAAACATGGGTCATTACTTCCAGAACTTCACATTTTAAGGCACTTATTTATGTTCATTTTTATATTTTCCCAGTGTCTGCCTTCCCCTCCTTCCCTGCCCCCCAGCTCCCAGCCCCCGCCAAGGTGTACTTCACCATCTGTGGCTTGCTCTGCCCTGCAGGGGCAGTTATCCTGGATCTTGTAACCAATCAGTGCTCTCACATGTTTACCTGTCTTCCCGGTGCCTGATGCCATCACCACTAAAGAGATGTTTGCTGAATGAATGAACTGCTTATAGTTTGATGCTTCAACAAGTTGTCCCATAACCTGTGTCTGCTGGTGCTTTTCCTTTGCCTAGAATACCTTTCCCTTCCTCACCTGGCTCATTCCTAAAGACTCATCCGTCACAGGTATCATCCCTAAAAAGTCTCTCCTGACACCTCCCTCTCCTTACCCCATAGGGTCCCTTTCTTTGTTCCCAAAACTTGTATGTAGCTTTTTCCTGCACTTGCCCCTTTATAGAAAAATTACGTACTTGTATCTACCTCCCTTGCGGACTGTGAGCTCCTCGAGAGCTAATGTTCTGTCTAAGCATCTGTTTCACCAATGCCAGCGCAGCACCGGCCCACAGAACCGTTTTAGCCCTCGGGCTAATGCAGCTAAAATGACTGGTGCCAACAGGCTTTTAAAATGCTTATCAAAATGTTTGAGACATAAAAACAATGTTGTTGGCTCCAAGATATACATATTTTTAATCTTGCAAAATGAAAGCTAAAATGTTTAATGAAGTAGCTACAAAATTTGCAGTGTCAATGTCATTAATTATTAAAGTTAGTATTCACACAGTTTGTTCCATTCTAAAACTATTTGTATGTTAGATTTTCTCTGCTTACAAAAATCCTCCCAGAGCCCAAGATGATTTCAGAGAAATGCCAATCAAAAATTCATTTAGTTACTCGTAGCACACAGTACTTTCCAAAGCAAAATGAGAAATCTTTTCTAAAACTTTTACAGTTGCATGTAAGGCAGATATGCTTAGGGCCCTTGGAATTCCCGAACAGCCCCGCCTGCAGAGAAGGAAACTTCAGGGAGTGCTTAGACTGAGGCTTGGGCCCTTCGGTCTGTTTGCCACCGTCCCCTCCATGACCTAGTGTCTTATACCTACTCAGCCTCGCTTGTGTACTTTGCCTGCTGGTCACTGAGAGTCCCTGGTTTTCTGATTCCTGGTCCTGGACTTTGAGCTGGAAGAGAGATTTGAGATTATCTGAGCCAATCCTGTCCCTCTTTAGATGAGAGCAGTGCAGTCCAGAAAGGAGGACAGAATTGACCTGTTGAATATCGTGCAAAGGTAGTTTCAATAGCAAAGGCAGGACTGGTACCAGGCCCCGGAGTACTTGTAAGTACACTTAGTCTTTAAAACAGTCAAGTTGCAAACACTGGCCAGTGGAACTTTAATTTGCTTCCGAATCACCTGAGGAACTTGTTAAGCGAGCAAATCCTCTAACCACCTCCAGATGCTAAGTCAGTTTTGCTAGGCCAGTGCTGGGGAATCTACGTTTTTGGTGAGTTACTAGTGTCTGACCACCTTGGCCTGCAGACCACAACTTAGAACAGTGATCTCCAAGGATTATCCCCTGAGGTGCAGGAAGAACTGTGGCTTCTGTTTTGTTTTGTTTTTTTAATCTGGAAAGTAAAGGCAAAATTAAGCCTTACTAATGCTTAACATACAGGTTGACACAGGTGCCCTTCCTTGGGCCATGGTCAGCTGGTGTATCAGTCCAGTATGATTGGGTTATGCAGCCAAAACAAATGATTCCCAGATGTCAGTGACTTAAACTAGGGATGCCAAATAAAATAAATAAATTTAAGATAAACAGAAAAAATTGGGGGTTAGAATTTCCAAATATTTAGTAGCAGTATGTCACATGTGACATTTGGGACAGACTTTCACTGGTCCAGGTAATTTTTACTCCAGAACCCAGGTTGATGAAGCAACCTGCATCTGGAACTAGTAGAGGTGGTGGGGCAACAAAGAGATTGGTGAACCATAAACTAGCTCCTAAAGCTCCGGCTCAGAAGTGACAAACACACTGCCTCTCACTTTTTTTGGCCAAAATGATACACGTGACCAAGCTTAGCATCCAGGTGGTGGTGAAGACTAATGGTCCCCGAAGGAAGGACATTGGGTGTCTGTGGACCATTATGCCGTCTACCACGGCATATGGTGGCTTGGATGGGCCGCTGGATGCCATCCACAGGGTAAAATATGACAAAACAAGACCTTTAGGGACTTCACTGGAGGTCCAGTGATTAAGACTTTGCCTTCCAATGCAGGGGGTGCGGGTTTGATACCTGGTTGAGGAGCTAAGATCCCACGGGTCTCACAGCCAAAAAAAACAAAACGTAAAACAGAAGCAATATTGTAACAAATTCAATGAAGACTTAAAAAAAAAAAAAAGACCTTTAGAAGAATCTTTTCAGAGTTTTGTAATAAGATGAGGGGTGACCTTGAAAATCTCATGTACCACACAGATCACAGATCACCTTGTGACAAAGCACTTGAAAGAACTGTCAAGCTTAAAAAATGAGTTACTATATTTTGTTTTAGAGAAAGTATTCCACATTTACTCATCTTTTCTGTGATGACAAGTAGCTGTCATTAGGATGGTGTAGGAGAGAGTTTCACAAAAATAAAGACTTAATCTGTTCCTTCACGATAACGGTGATGTTTTTAACAATGAGTGAGAAACTCATTGGTTTTCAAAAGAACTGAATCCTATGGAGAGAGCATTTCTGAAAATAGAGGTTTGCAAACCTTTCCAGTGTTACATGATTTTGTTGCTAAAAGTGACATGTATCGCTTATTAAAAAAAAAAAAGGCAAATGTCCACACAAAACTTAGAAACTGAAATTTCTCACCTCTTTAAAAAGATCTCCCAGATGGAGAGTTTTGGGATCCACATCGTAATTGTTTTCTTTGATACTGCTAGTTGGCCTACTCAGGACGCCCAGACTGATCTCTTTGTCAGCCTCCAACTGATTTGTTTACCCCCAAAATGTGCATGTAAGATTCACTATTCCCAGCTGCCAGCAGGGTTTTTCCTCTCTCCTGTATTTTATACATCCTGTTTTTAATTGTGTTCCATGACAACAGTCAATTGACCTTTCTTCCTCATGTACAAGTAAATGAATTGCATGTAAAACAACTAGCTAAGCATCTCTGAATTATTCCTTGACACCATTTAATTGGTTTGTAAAAGGAGGATTGGTGGACTTCAGAGACGATGGAGATTTAGCCAAATTTCATTTAAAACCTTTGCATGATTTGTGGAAACAATTGAAATGAGCAGTTTGACTTGGTAAGCGGTGTGATTCTTCCTAGTTAGTTTACTTATCTTTTGAGATACTTTAAGCAATGACAGCCATTAAAACCAAGTTTTAAAATAATCGGAACTTAGAAGCACACTTCAAATTGTTATATCACAGCGTTTTCAGCCAAGAGTCACAAAAATAAACCTATTTGACCACATTACTCTCTTTAAAAAAATGCTAGCGAGAGCAGAACTAGTTTGCAATCAATAAATAAAATTTTTAAAATATTGTTTTAGACTTTAAACATTTCCTACTTTTGTATTTTTATGCTAATGTATTGCTGCTAGTATATTATTTACAAATAAATTAAGATGCATATATTGGGGCTACATGTTCAGAATTTTTTTCAACTAATAATAGTATATGATAAGAGTTTATAGACCACTGCTTTTAGAACCAAAAACCACATGCTAGCTACTCTTTAGGTCAAGAACAGTTAGTAAATTAATAATCTGTATTTTCCTTTACACTTTAATTTGACCAGAGTAGAAAAATTTTAGAGTATAAGATAATGCAAACCTTGATGTGCCATTTACCAGTGTAATAGCAAGGAACACTCGGTTACAATTACAGGATACCTTACATAATTATTCTTGACAATTATTTAATTGTTGTTCTGTAGACTAATAACATTTAAGCAAAATACTTGAAACTATTTGGAAATCATTTCGACTGCATTTGAACTCAATGCAGATACTTTTCTAGATACACGATGAACTCAAATTCTTTTGTAAGCTATTTAGCCTTGACTTTCAGAATCCAACACAGATGGTCGTAGGGGCAGGTTGTCTCTGCTGGGTGTTACTTTCCCAGCAGAAACGTCCTTAGAGTCTTTGTGAGTTTTATCCTCCTAAGCTGATTATTACCCTAAACGAATCCTAGCAAAGTTCCAAACTCACTAACGACTGCTCTCCAGGCACCTCAGTGGTGGCTGGAGCACTAGTGGTGATTCATGCTGGGCACACACCTTAGGCTGAGGGTGAGAAGGAAAGAATTCTCAAATGAACCTTCAAATCAATCCCTCAGGCAGGCCTCTGCCTTTCCAGTTAAGGGCTTGGCCTAGCCATTAAACATTTCCAAGGAAGTTTCCAGTGGAGAGAACAGAATGAAGGCATCACTTAGTGCAAAAGTGTCTGGTGTCAGAACTGGACCTTTTTACTAAACATTTCTATATTTGTCTTCCTGTGGGCATTGAAGAGATCTATTTTACCTTGTCAGTGTAATGCAGTCACAAGGCTGCACCCAGGAATGGAATCCACTGCAGGAGCATGTTGGACAGAATGGTAACTACTGGATGGACCATGAGTGTTATCCACATATGACAATTTTTTACATATTTATTTACATTTTGTTCTCTCCAGGAAATGAAGCCAGAATCCACAGATGTCATTATCCATCTGCACGCTTTTGTTTACTACCCAGAAGGCAAGAATATTGCATTTTAAAAGTGTCCGGACTTTTGTTCTTTCTTATCACAAATGACTTGAGAAGATCTGACCATTCACAGTTACCCTGAGTGGAAGTGCCAAAGACATGCTTCCTGGAGCGCTTTGAGATTCAGGTACAAAAGGCATTTTATAAGCACAGAGTGAAAAAGCATCATTTATATTCATTTGCTGCTGTGGCATTTCTCTCTGGAATCTTCCTCGTGTCTGTCAACATTGTGCAAAAGGACTGGCCTCATCTACATTACAAATATCTCTCCTTTAATGGCCTGGAAGTAGGAAAGGGACTGCATTAGAGTGAGCTCTCATGTTGGAGGGCCTCCCACTTGTTTATCCCTAAAACTGGTTGGACATGGTCGCTGTGGATGTCATGAATTATTTTGGAAAGACCTGAGTATGAACTCAGTACGGTGCTTTGTGCATCTTGGCTGCAGTGAATGTGTATTACCTGACTTCAGTGACTCATGGGAGAATCACAGCCATAGGGAAGAGCTTCTGAGGGGTCATTTAGAATGGAGCCATTCTGGACAGACCGTGGTCAGTTCTCTACTAGCTTCTGGAGTGGAGAAGTTTCCACCATGATGGCTCCTTTGACCCGTGGCAGATCCTTTCTTGCAGGGTCCCTGCTTGGTATGATTTAAGAAGCATCAAGGACTTTCTGCCCCAGAAGATCTCAGTGTGTGACATCACACACATGGATGAGGGTTTGCCAACTGTATTAGTTAAAGTAGAGCCTGGCTTGGAGGGGCTCCCATGCCCCTCTAGGAATGTTCTAGAACATGGGGCATTACCCAAGAGACAGAGCCTGGGATGGTGTTACTCAGGTCAAAGGTCTGAGCGTGGGGGGCCATATAAATGAGTGGTGGGGCGGTGTGTACAGATGCAGGAGAGGTGCTTGGAGAGTAGGAGTGCTGCTACCAGGAGAGATGGTTCCCAAAGGGAGAGACCCATATGCCAAGCCCTTCTCTTTTTCCTCTGCCCAGGGTCCCTTCTGAATCTGCAAATCAACTGCTGCTTCTCCTCCTCCTTTGCCTTCTTCTTCAAATCTTTTCATCACAAAAATTTCAAATATATACCTAAGCAGAGAGAACAGTAAAATGAACCCCCATGTACCCATCACCATTATCCACCTTGAAAAATGACCAGCACCATCCAGTCTCCTTCCACACACCCTCCCCTTCCTCAGATGATTATTGAAATTAGCTCATACTTTTTTTTTTTAATAAATTTATTTGTTTATTTTTGGCTACGTTGGGTCTTCGTTGCTGTGCACGGGATTTCTCTAGTTGTGGTGAGCTGGAGCTATTCTTCGTTGCGGTGTGCAGACTTCTCATTGCAGTGGCTTCTCGTTGCAGAGCATGGGCGCTAGGTGCACAGGCTTCAGTAGTTGTGGCACATGGGCTCATCAGTTGTGGCTCGTGGTCTGTAGAGCACAGGCTCAGTAGTCGTGGCGCACAGGCCTAGTTGCTCCGTGGCATGTGGGATCTTCCCGGACCAGGGCTGGAACCCGTGTCCCCTGCATTGGCAGGCGGAGTCTTAACCCCTGGGCCACCAGGGAAGCCCTCCTTAATTATTTTTAATTTAATGCCCCCTGTTGCATTTTTCTGGCCATTTTCTTCTGTCAATCACTGTCTTAAGTCAGTCTCCTGGATTGGCTATGAAAAGACACCTTTCTCAAGGGAGCCCTAAGCAGACACATTTCTCAAGGGAGAAATGTTGAGACTGGCCAAACGACGTAGGCTTAATTCAGTTCCACCCGACGGACACGCGTCTAGCCCTAGGCACAGTGCTGGGTTAAGGATGTCGGCAGAACGGGTTCCTAACCTCAAGGGCATATGATCTAGTTCTGGGAAGAGGACAAGGGCTGTAGCAAGTAGTCAGCAATAGGAGGCGGATGTCACCACTGAGGAAGGGAAAAGACCAGGTGTGGGGGACCTTCCAGGTTGAGATAGACACACTGGGCTGGGAGGGGTGAGGGTTCAGGGAGGTCAGCAAGGGCCATGGAGCCTGAGGTGTTGAGGAGGGACTTGGAGGGTTGAGTGTGGGGTGGGACAGTGAAGGAAAAACACTTGCCAAAACGTGGAGGTGGGAATAGCTGAGGGAGCTGTGGGAGTGCCCCAGTTGGCTGGAACACAAGGTGCAAGGGGCTTGGTGGGAGGAATGGGGGAAGGAGGGGGGGGGGAGGAGGGCAATTGGTTCTTCCTAGGTTAAGAACTAGATAATACTTATTTCTAAGTAAGGAAAACCAAAACTGGATTTTTAGGGCATGGCTATGAAAAACATAGTGCAGACCACACTTAGGAAACCAGAAGAAATCAAGGTGGGCTTAATGGAAGTTAGGCAGCAGGGGTGGTATAAGAAAACTCAGGTAGCTGCCTGAAATAAAGTGGACCCAGCTTCCACTAGCCAGGCGATGCAGTTTTTAAACATATAAATGTGGCTTGTTGTGATTCCCCACTACATAAAATGTAAGTATAACTGTAGTCTTCTTTTTGCTGCTGAGTTCTGAGAAAATATGGGGTTTTTTGTCTCTGCCAGTGAAATAAATACATGGACAGAAAATTCCTAGCATTGCTTCCATGTAAGGGAGGGCAAAGAAGATGGTGAGCTTTGGCAAAACGTTCGTGTTTTGTAAATGAAACAGAACAGTAACTTGATTTTTCAAAAGAATAAGGTTTTCATTACAAATGTGGGCCCGTTTATGTTGGAAAATTCAAATGTAGCAAAACGCAAAAAGGCAAGAAAATGCATCGTCCCACTATCCAAAGAACATAAAATTTTTAATGTTTTTGTGTCATATGACGATTTGGGAACATGTTTTTGATACTGAATGACTTCGGTAATTCACCCCGCCCCCCTCCCCACCCCATTCATTGTGCTTATCGAGTGTTGGCATTAATATTTCTATCTCTGTTGACTTTAAGAGTCAGTCCTCCTTTGAGCTCAGATTGCAGATGGAATACAGGGGATCATCTCAATATTGAATGAGAGAGAAAGTTTATTCTCAGATATGCATGAAACCAGCCCTGTGCTTGTTGTTTGATTTTTGTTTTGTTTTTCGTTTGGTTTGGTTTTTTTTTGCAGGGCCTGGGGAAGACTGTAAATGGAGTCTGCAGAGCATATGGCTAAATATCTAAGTTATATATTAAGCCAACAAATTATTAAATAAAACATGTCCTATCCTCCTTCCTTGGCTAGTACATCTTCATCACAGCCACCCCTTGGAGACTATTAAAATGTTCTATCCTCTGACCCTTCTAACAGGTGCCCCCTGGCCACCCCTTGGGCATAGGGGTACAAACACCAGGTCCTCTGGGCGTCAGGCCTAGGAAGCACACTGTGTGGGCCGCAAAGCAGGCTTGGAGCCATTAGGGCAGGCTCTCAGCAGCTCCAGGTGGGCCTGTGTCCCTGTGTGTTGCAGGGGGGTTAGGGCAGGGGTGGCCAGAGGAAAGCCAGAGCAGGTGCCCCTCTGACTCTGATTTGAGTGAATTATTCCATGTTTCCATGTACAGGTGGTATGCTGGGTGCTGGGAACACAAAGGTGAGTGCAAACAGTTTAGTGGGGGCATATGCAGAAGCTGTCAAGGAAGTTCCCCCTCTCAAATGTGAACTTGCAACTATGACTTGACCCAGGCAGTAAAGTCAGGGAGGAGGTAACTAGGCAAAAAGGGCAGAGAAGAGAATTCCAGGCAGAGGGAAAACATAGGTGAAGTCCAGGTATCAGCGGAGAGAGGCACAGCCGTTGTGAGGCAGGGGAACACGGTGGTAAGGCTGGGATGGGAGCCACAGGAGCTTGAGATGGGAGGCGGGGCTGGAGAGACAGGTGCGCACTGACCAGGGGAGGTCTCCGTGACCTTGTTAAGGAATTTCTCAGGATCCTCAGTGAAAGGCTTTGAGCAAAGGGTCACAGGATCAGGGTAAACAAGGCTACACCATCTTGAATTGATCCTGGCTAGACATAATGGTTCTTTGGACCAGTGGGATAGTGATGGAGATGGAGAATGGCAGACAGGCTCCAGGGAGATTTGGAAAGTAAAATGGCCAGGACTTCGGGGATATTGGATTAGGGGGAAGTGGGAAATACATATCAGGGGAAATTGGTCAAATAAATGGGGTGGACGATCTGGGAACACTGAAAGGAGGTGAGGTTGGAGGGGTAGGTCATGAGTTGGCGCTGGGACATATAGGTTTGAGGTACCTTTGGGGCACCTAGGACGGTCCTCAGCAGGCAGGAGGATATACCGCTTGAGCAGTAAAAAGAGGTCAGGGCTGCAGACTTAGGTGTGCGAGTCATCTCCACAGAGGTGGTGAGCCAACCTTAACCTTAGGGTTAGGATTAGGGTCCACGGATGTGATGTCTGGGGAGAGACTGTCCACTCACCTGACAGAAATTAAACAACCCGAGCTTTCTGATGCAGATGAGAACCTTAAGAGTGGAATCACACCAACTGTGAACTAAAATGACAAAAACCTTCTAGCAGCCTTGCTCATGACATTGGTCACTGTAAACAGGCTTGTCATGCACAAATCACCTGCAACAACAAAGAGGATTAGGGATGAGTTGGTCACTGTTGCATGGGGACTTTTTGTGCTTGTGAGTTTAAATCAGATTCCTGTTACTTGCACATCATTTTGCCATGTGTATTTGTAAATATATCTTGCTGGCATATTTTATGCTTCAGTTAATTTAGTTGATATCTAATTTAGTTGACATATAAAAATAAAATCAATTTTCAGACAAAATACCCATAAAATAAGTGGAATGCTATAATAGGTTTCAAGAAATTTAAATGTAATAATTTAGGCTTCTATTCTAAAGCAATTTCATCTAGAATGATATTGTAGATGTAATTTTTTTCCTGAATCTCTGTCAATTATACAATAATAAATGTGGCTAGTATATACCCAGAAATTTATTTTTTTAACATCTTTATTGGAGTATAATTGCTTTACAATGTTGTGGTAGTTTCTGCTGTATAACAAAGTGAATCAGCTATACATATACATATGTCCCCATATCTCCTCCCTCTTGGGTCTCCCCCCCACCCTCCCTATCCCTCCCTTCTAGGTGGTCACAAAGCACTGAGCTGATCTCCCTGTGCTATACAGCTGCTTCCCACTAGCTATCTATTTTACATTTGGTAGTGTATGTTAAGTCCATGCCACTCTCTCACTTCGTCCCAGCTTAACCTTCCCCATCCCGGTGTCCTCAAGTCCATTCTCTGCATCTGCGTCTTTATTCCTGTCCTGCCCCGAGGTTCTTCAGAACCACTTTTTTTTTTTTTAGATTCCATATATATGTGGTAGCATATGGTATTTGTATTTCTCTTTCTGACTTACTTCACTCTGTATGACAGACTCTAGCTCCATCCACCTCACTACAAATAACTCAACTTCGTTTCTTTTTATGGCTGAGTAATTTTCCACTGTATATATGTGCCATGTCTTCTTCATCCATTCATCTGTCGATCGACACTTAGGTTGCTTCCATGTCCCGGCTATTGTAAATAAAGCTGTGATGAACATTGTGGTACTTGACTCTTTTTGAATTGTGATTTTCTCAGGGTATATGACCAGTAGTGGGATTGCTGGTTCATACGGTAGCTCATTTTTACATTTTTGAGGAACATGCATACTGTTTTCCATAGTGGCTGTATCAATATACATTCCCACCAACAGTGCAAGAGGGTTCCCTTTTCTCCACACCCTCTCCAGCATTTATTGTTTGTAGATTTTTTTTTTTTTTTTTTGCAGTATGTGGGCCTCTCACTGTTGTGGCCTCTCCCGCTGCAGAGCACAGGCTCCGGACGTGCAGGCCCAGCAGCCATGGCTCATGGGCCCAGCCGCTCCGCAGCATGTGGGATCTTCCCGGACCGGGACACGAACCCACGTCCCCTGCATTGGCAGGCGGACTCCCAACCACGGCGCCACCAGGGAAGCCCTGTTTGTAGATTTTTTGATGATGACCATTCTAACTGGTGTGAGGTGATACCTCATTGTAGTTTTGATTTGCATTTCTCTAATGATTAGTGATGTTGAGCATCCTTTCATGTGTTTGTTGGTAATCTGTATCTCTTCTTTGGAGAAATTTCTATTTTGGTCTTCTGCCCATTTTTGGATTGGGTTGTGTCTTTTCTTGATATTGAGCTGCATGAGCTGCTTGTAATTAATCCTTTGTCAGTTGCTTCATTTGCAAATATTTTCTCCCATTCTGAGGGTTGTCTTTTCATCTTGTTTATGGTTTCCT